CATGGGCTTTACCTATAAATCAGGAAACCCTGGCCTCAAGGTTTTTCAATATGAAACAGAGGATGTTAAGATTGTGTGTATTTGTGTGTCTCTTTGTGTCTCTCTTTGTGTGAAAGGTGCTTTTCTGTGTGTGTGTATGTTGGCGAGGGGGCAGCCACAGTTCTTCATATTAAGATATTATTTCCAAATGGGTTTTGTTAGTGACTAGACAGTTCAAGAATCAGTTTTATTGAGCCCTGGTAATGACTGTTTATCACTAGCGTCCAGGCCATTAGCATCACCGGAGAGCCCTTGATCCTCCATAAGCCCTGTTTTTACAAAGTCCACAGTCTGGAAAGCAAGTCGACTGGGAATCAACCACCATCTGCTGCTCCAGCCTCCAGTCACGGTGAGGTTTATGTGGCAGAACAATGAGCGAGCGGTCGGCCTGTCCAATTAGTTAAGTATACTGGAAAATGTTTGGTGCCCAAGTGGTCGTAAATGCTCCTGTGATCATGACAAAACGGTGTTTGCAAATCGCACCCATTAGACATGTTTAATCCTGCACTGGACGTCACTCACACAACTAAAACGATGCAGGGGATAGGACAGTGGAGATGGAGGCATGCAGCAGGGCTCAGAGTCAGAGGACAGAGTCTAGAAGCACGGATCTGGGCCTGGGGGCCCCCCTACAATGTCCTCCCCCCACCTCGGTGCCCTGAGGCCAGCGTCACCTCCAGTGAATAAAGATGCAGGTCGTCAAGGTTTCTTTGACAACAGACACGGGAACCTTTGAATGTAGTTCCTGCTGTGTATTTTGAGCTGTTGTGAAGAATATTAAAATATTAAAACAGACTGATAGCAATGTATTCCGGAGTTTATTAGGATAAGTGGGTAACAAAGCACAAAGGGTGACGACCTGCTTCCAAGGCTGCCCAGAGGTGCCACTCAGCTTTTCAGAGGCCTGAGGGCAGCTCAGTGTCCAGCCCGCCCTCCCCCAGCCTGGGAGGAAAGCCTGTGATTCCAGCATCAGTGGAACAAACTTCAAATATATACATTCAAAAAGACCTACATGTTCTCTTCTAGCACTCAGGGAGGAACTGTTGATGTTTACAATCGCATTGAATATCATCATGCAAGACCTCACCTCTGATCTAATTCTAGCTTAAGCCAAATATGCAAAAAGAGCTTCAGACCAGGGGAACGGTGGGCAAATTCTGCCGAAAGGAAACACTTACCCCCTTGCAGATAAGAGAAACAATGAGAGAAAGGAATTCCAGAGTTTCTTCCTAAAACTGGTGAGTGTTATCTCCATGAACAGACCAAAACACACTTCATTTTGGTTAAAAAAAAAAAAAGCATTTCAGTGAGTTTTACTCCCGGAATCCGGAACCAACTAAGGTACTTGTTTATTGAACACGTGGAGAGTTTGATCATCCTCTTTTTTTCAGTTGACAGGCTCCACAAACCACACAGATTTAAGCCTTGGGTTTTGTAGCCAGAGAGGGACAGATGTTTTCAGGGATTTTCTGTCTCTGATTTCCATGCTAACCCTATTGTTTTCAGCGGTGGAAATATGTAGGGGACATTACACCATTTTGCAGCTGCTGGAAAGCAGTGCTTTCCTGTTTTCCTGATTTAGACAATGGAGAAGCTAAGAAGAAAAATAATAGGAAAAGGCTTTCCTCTATTTGTTTTTTAAAAAACTGCATTATTTTGAATTTGGTACCTTTTTCAGAGTCAAATCTCATCTCCGTTCTCTTAGTTTTTATAGAAATCTATATGGGAAAGACAGTAGGAATAAAAGTAGCTAACGATCAAATCCACATCTTCCAGAGGTTGTTCAGGGGTAAAACCCAGACCCTGCACATTATGCTCAAACAAAGCTCACAACCAGAACATAAAAGACGCAGCTACACACGTGTGTGTGGAAGAGAGAGCTTCACTCCCAACTCTGCTCCTCTTGAAGCCTGCACGGAAGCACACTCACATACGTGTTTAGTTTTTTATTTCACTTTTCACCTGATCATGGGGAAAGATGTGAAGACTAACCTTTTGGAGAGGCTGCTAGTCTATCGGCAACAGGCACTCAGGCCTGAAATGGCTTTGCCAGGCCTGGTGGTCAACACACACTGAGTCCCACCCGGCTTCAGGCCAGAGCTGGTGGGTTCACTGTTAGTGCCTCTGGGGACAGGGGACAGGCACCAAAGTGACACCAGCAAGGTTACTTCTGCCTCCAGGCCACCCAGCAGAGCAGTCGTGGGTTCATCATACAAAAGACACACCCCAGGTCCTCCACGCCCAAGGCGAATTTGGAGAATGACCCACCCTTGGCTCTCTACACTCCGCTCCCCCAGGGGACTGTCCTCCTGCTTCAGCCCCTCCAAATGGCCAGCAGGAGAGAAGAACAGTGATTGCAAAGACTGTCCCTGAAATTCAGGAGCAGGCCTGTTTGAGGAGACGTCCTCCCTTTAAGTTATCTGAGTCACTCACGTGGTGAGTTTGTCCCAAACATAGAATCATTGAGCCATGGACAGATGCCCAAGTTGTCTTTGAACGTGTTGCTCAGCGGAGCCTTGTCCCCGGCACCCAGCTTGCTCTGCCGCTCGGCAGGTCAGGGGGTCAGGGACAGAACTGGTCACCTGGTCGGCCCCGTCCAGCCCGACTGCTGGAGGAGTCCTAGCGTGGTAGAACCCACCTCTCCCCACGCTCCATCCATCCATTTACCTGGCTGTCATGATCGAGCCACCTGGCTTCTGGATAAATAGATACTTTGTCCATTGGCCTCAAGCTCCCAAAACAAGGATTCAAACCCCTGGACCAAAGCAGGTTGAATGGGAGAAGGAAGCATCCTTCTGACGCTTTTCATCAGAGTCACCGCCCAAGGTCGTCCAGCTGGGTGGTGGCTGCGAAGGCGGGTTGTCAGCAGAGGGGCCGACTCTGACGGAGGAGGTTTGGAGAAGCTGTTACTTATCCTCCCATTTCTCCCCATGGGGATGCTCAGTGGTGGGGGGAAGTAGGGGGCACAGCGAGCAGGGCTACGTATTCCCTACTCGCCCTCAGAAGAATTCAAACACAGAAACCAGATGGGGCCGGGCCATGGAAGAAATCAAATGGCCTCAGCCAATTCAAGGCTGGGGGACCACGGGGGTCAGGGGCGGCCTGCATTGGGAATTTTCCCCTCGCCCCAGTGACCAGGGTGAGGTCTGTAACGGCCTAGAGCGAAGCATTTCTATAAGTGCAGATACCAGCCAGAGGCACACACAGGCACAAATGGCCCACAGTCAGTCCCACAAAGCACGGCGTCCAGGGACCCTGGGCTGAGGGGCACAGCGTTCCACCCCTGGAGCATTAAAGCCCAGTGTTCCAAGTGGAAACTGCAGAAATTAGGTGAAGAATATTAGGTGTCAGAAGCAGACACTCTGAACCCTGTGCTGGGCCCCCTCAGACCTTCATCCTTCCTTCCTTCCTTCCCCCAACCCCTTCCAGTTTTCCTTTTTTTTTTTTTGTGAGCTATAGCACCTTCATTTCGAAATTGGCAAAAAGCATCTACTTGGCTCTGGAGGCCAAGCACATGGTGTGCTGACCTCTGGGGCAGAGTTTGGATCCCGGAAATGGTTCCCTTGGTCTGTCCTGCAGGGGAAGGGGAGCATCAGGGAGGGATGTGGCAAGGGGTTCACCCCCAGCCCCACCTTCTCCAGGTGCCCAGCCCTCCTGTGCTACTTGGACAGCTTCTAAGGGCTCCGACCTGCAGTGAATTCTGGCCTGCCTTCCAGGGACCCAGGCTGAACTGGGACCGAGCACCGCCAACCACAACAGTCTTAGTTGTGGGAAATCATGGCTAGTGGGCACTTACAGGCAAGGCTATAAATTAAAATGGCTCTGAGCAGTATCTGCTGTTGCACAAGATCTTAGTTATACTCTCATTCTTTCTCCATCCCCTCTTGTCTTCTTTTTTAAGGAAAAGGGCTAGAGGACACCTGTGCTGTACGCAGCACCGGGCCAACACCCAGGGGACGAGTCCTGACTTGGTTGTGCTGTGTCCACAAGACGGGCTCAGCTCTCAGGAGGCCTCTGTCACCGTGAACTGTGCTACATGCTGTGACAGCACCTTTTAAACTCAGCCCCTCACATCGTCCAGAAACCATCAAGGAGTCCAAGCCCAGGCAGAGTCCAGAGACGACAGGATGGCATCAGGGGCATGGGGCCGCCTGGCCCTGGAGACCAGTGATCTTTAACCTTTGACTTCACGAGTGTCTCACCAGTCAATCACATGGTGAAACATGGGAACATTTATTGAGACAAATTGACTCACGTAGTTTTGAAACAAACCCTACCTTCTAACCCTAGTTTCCAGAGTCACTTTTTACTCGCTTGATACAATTTTCCCCACATTGTTCAGATTTCATTTGCAAATAAACTGAAGACAATTAGAACCTGAAGAACTAGAGAGATGTGATTTCTAAACGCCCTGCCTCTGCCACCTAAGTGGATGGAAAAGCAAGAATGGAAAAAAAAAAAAAATCGTCTCCAGCCTGAATAGGTTCCCTCCGTCAGAAACAGAGCTTCTTACATAATCAGACAACTGATAGACTCAGGCTTCATCACACCAGAAGGCACAAATCATTTCAGTCCGAATTTGCCCTGGTTCGCGTCCTCTTATTAGAGGTGTATGCGGGCAGAGAAGCAGTTCAAAGGGAGCCTGTTAGCACCTGACATGTCAAGTCTGATCTAGAATCAGGGATGACATGAACTCAGTCACATTTGAATTTCAACAGGAGAGGGAAGGAGAATTGTTAACACACATGAAATTCCTGAAATGGCACCTGACCCTCTCCCACTTCCATACTACACACGTGTGATACCTGCACGGTTCAAGCTGCCAGGCATTTAAAGAGAAGGTTGACTACTACTTGCTAAGATTCCAGTCCAGTCTTCCAGGAGGATGGGGGTCCTGCTCTCAACAGGCTCCTGGCTCTGAGGATGGTGATCGCTGCCAGTGTCCAGGGGCCGCCTCAGCGTCAGCAGTCTGTCCCCGGCGTCGGACTATGGGAACAAAGGGCAACACATTGGAAGCTGCTGCCCCGGGGCCGTGCCATCTGGGCCCCGGGGCCCTGGGCCATCTGGGCACCCTCAGAGGGCACATGTGGGTCTCGAGGTGACCCCAGGGGGGCCTGTGCCTGCTCCTCACCCCTGCCTGCTGCATGCCACGGTCACTGCCGCTCCCACCCCGCACCTGTGCCCGCCACACTCTTCCCCGGGCGACCCAGGCTCCTTCACCTGTAGGGGTTTTCCGTGGCTCTGCTCTCAGCTCGCTCGGGGACCCAGGCATAGCTGTCCGCCGCGCTCTGTGGCTGTTGCTTCTTCTCTTCCCTCTTGGCCCTGCGTTTGCGACAGACCAGCAGCCCTAGGGCCAGAGCTAGCAGGAGCAGGATGGCCACCACGGTGCCAAGAATGTAAAACAGGAGCAGCTGCTGCCCGTCCGTGCCCTGGTCACTCTGCTTGGCTGTGAAATCCTCGCCTTCAGACTCCCTGTGGCCAGTGGTGGCTGTGGGGTGATGGGTGCTGGGCTCCATCCAGACCCCAGGCGTCGCACTGGGGGCCAGCATCTCCGGTGGGGGCAGGGAGATGGGGACCCTGGCTGGGAAGGAGGGTCTCCTGTTGGAGGGCACCACCATGGTGGTACCCTCAGGGTTGTCCCCACTGGGTCTGGACACAGTGGCAGAAGACTGGAGCCCCCCTTCTCCATCTCCCGTGTCTTCCCCAAGGGGAGACCCGGTTGGTGGTCCCAGCGACGTGGGCCCCCCAGTGCAGGAGACACCATTGGGGTCCAGCTCCCAGCCCGGCAGGCAGCCACAGCGGAAGGACCCCTCTGTGTTGAAGCACAGGCTGTCACAGAGCCCACCCTGCTGGACCTCACACTCGTCCACGTCCAGGCACTGGGTGCCATCCTCCCCAGCCAGCTCATAGCCCTCCTCGCAGGAGCAATAGAAGGCGCCCTCAGTGTTGGTGCAGCTCTGGGAGCAGGGCGAGTGGCCAGGGGCACACTCGTCCACATCCACGCAGGCCCCCTCTTCGGGGCCGCCGGGCTCAAAGCCCACCCAGCACTCACAGCGGAAGCTCCCAGGGGTGTTGACACAGTCCTGGGCGCAGGGGGCGTCCTGGCACTCGTCCACGTCCACGCAGTTCCGCTGAGTCAAGTCCAGCTTGTAGCCTGGGGGACAGCGGCACGTGAAGTCTGTTCCGAGGGACCCGGGGACGCACGTGGCCTCCCCTCCACATGGGCTGGAGCTGCAAGGGTTCCGAGAGGCGCAACTGACCAGGTCGTCCAGCAGCCGGAACCCCGGCCGGCAGCCGCATCGGAAGGAGCCGTCCCCGCCCTCGAAGCAGTCCTGCTGGCAGCCTCCGTTGTTGAAGTCGCAGCTGAACTTGGGGCTCACACAGAGGGGCCCTGAGCTGTCCCAGTCAAACTCGCTGGGGGCCTTCTCCTTGCACAGGAAGTAGTGCTGCCTGCCCTCGTCCCCATCCTCACAGGCCACGCTGGCCACCGAGGCAAAGGGCACAGCCTGCAGGGAGGAGCTGGTGGCCTGGAAAGGGGTCGTGTAGTTCACCTGACCCGGGCCCCCCAGGGTCAGCGGCCGGCACATGCCTTTGAAGCTGAACTTGCACACAAAGCCCTGGATGTTGCTCCCAGGAAACCCGGAGTTCCCACAAGGACCGTCGGCCCACTTGGAGAGGCTGCTGGCCAGGCCCGGCACAGACAGGTCCAGAATCAGGGACACGCAGCGCCTGTTGATACAGGTGTTCTTAACCTCTTTGTACCAGTTGCTGTACTGCGAGTCCTCCCCATCGCCCAGCCAGCTGAAGCCTCTCAGAGGCAGGCTGCTGTCCGAGCAAGTGCCCTTCTCTCGCTGGAGCCCAATCCAGAACTTGATTTTGGATTCTTGCAGGGGTGCCCCCAGCAGCAGGAGCTGGGTCAGGGCGCCCTGGATGTGCCAGGCCTCCTCCTCACTCTTCACCGTGGCCAGATTGCCCCCTTTCTTGCTGCAATGGAGCTGGGCATCCTCCGCACTCAGCTTGTGCCAGTGGGCCGTGTAGCAGGCAGTCCCTGCACAGACCACAGCCTCCTGGTCAGCGGTGCCCTCCGCCCGGGCCTGGATCGACAGCAGCGGCGGCAGTAGCAGCAGCAGCAGGCCAGTGGAACTGGCCATCGTGGCCTCTGTGTCCCTCTGGGTGGGAGGCTGACGCGCCGGCGGTGACAGCGGCGGCCCCAGCTGAGCTCCGACGGGAGCCGAGGGCTCAGACGTGGACGTTCCGCCACAGAGGACACAAAGGCTGAAGGCTTTCCTCGGCCCCCTGACCCAAGGCGCATCCTGCCGCTGCACTTCTTATTCCTCACCGGATACAGGGGCTTCCTGTGCTGAATAGCTTCTGACTCCTGCTGCCTTCATCACGGTTTTGTTGTTCATAAAAGGAGCCAGGCAACGTCGCTGGGTGCGGGCTAAGGAAATGCAGCGGCGATGGGGGTGGGGAGACGTTTGTTTGTGGCTTGCATACACCAGCGCCTTTATTTCGGGGTCCCTCCTCCTTCCCATTCATGTGAGGGCACGCCGCGGAGTAAGTAGAGATTTGGAGGGGGCCAAGAACTTGAGAAACTCACTTCATAACCCATAATGAAATTCCACTTTGGTTTGCAAACAACCAGAAGAGGGAAAAAAAAAAAAATCTTCAGGCTTGAGACATGATGGTTATAATTTTCAGCCTTTTTTAGAAGCAAACTCGACTCTCCTTTTGCTCGCTCATGTTCCCTTTGGCTTTGAGAGTCTTTTTTCTCTTATGTCCCCTCATCGTGAGCTTTAAATAGATAGGCAATTTTAAAATAGGAACCGGGCCGTGGGAATGTCTGAGTTTCTAACACAATGCCAAGCTCCCTCCTCGAGAACGTTAAACCCAATTGGGTGAAATTTGGCAGTTTTCAGGGTTTCGTAGTGCAAATGCTGTGTTGTGATATGGCAATGTCACAGAAAGCATCAGAAAGGAAATGAAAATGTCTTTGGCCTCACAGGCCGAGACTTGCATGCCTGTTTTTCCTCAGCTGGGGGTTACCGGAGGTTGGGAGGTCTGAGCCCAGAATCCATCCAGGCCACGGCTGACCTCCTTCCACACAGTGACTCACAGAGGCCCTTGAATCGAAGAGTTCTTTTCCTGCAATGACAGATGTTCTGCTCACTGAGACTGTCACCGGTTGGGGTCCCCAAGAAGTAGACCCCAGACAAGGGTTTGGGACACGCAGTTCTTTTGAGAGGGGAGGAGTGAGACAAGGGCAAGGAAGGGGTCGGCACTGGTGACGCTAAATTGAGCAGGTAACCTGGGGCCCCAGAGCTCTGCCCCCTGGGACCCTCAGGAGACCTGCAGACCACACATCCATCTCCCCAGAGAAGGGAGGGGGCTGGACCCTCCCCCTTTGGTTCCCCCTACCCACTGGCACCCATGACTCTCGGCACTCTGGGTGGATGGTGAGGACCCAGCCGCCAAAGGGAGCTCTCGGTGGAGAGTGGAAAACCTCAGAGTAACTGAGATGGGAGACCAGCTCTCCTCAGAGCTTCCAGTAGGGTGTCATGGGGGCTGGGAACTCAGGGACTTTCAGCCTCCACAAGGGATAAAGCACTCATCTCAGACTCCAGTCAGAGAGCCCTCAGGGGGTGCTCCTTACGTTCTTTTTGTTTTAATCAAATGTTTGCAGGAGTCCAGAGTTGCTTTCTTAGAATCCATGGAGTTCTCCCTGTGCTCTTTAGTGTCGGTGGAGATCCATCCACCCACCCACATATCTATCCATCCACTCATCCAACCATCCCCCCATCCATCCATCCATCCAACCATCTTTTTATCCATCTACCTAATCATCCATCCACCCAACCAATGTTGATTAAGGCCTTGTTGTGTGCTGGGCTCAGCACTGATATTCTAGGAGAAAACTCCTGCCTTCATGACCTTTGACATCCCTTAGAATGGACAGATTTGAACATGTTGAGCAGTTTTAGCTGTGACAGGTACCTCGGGGTGTCAGGAGAGGTCTTTGGGATGGACACTTGGGACAGGCTCCTCTGGAAAAGAATGGCAATGAAGCTGGAATTTAAAGGAGGAATAGATAAGAGGGGAAATGGCATTCATGTGGAGGAGTAGCATGTGCTAAGGCCCTGGGGTGGGAGGGCCATGACCTTGTTAAGGGAGTGAAGGAAGGGCGGTCCTACGAGAGCCTGAGGCGTGGCAAGGAGGACCTGGGAAGGTGAGGAGCCCTGAGAACCCAAACAGTGACAACTTGACTTTTATCTGAAATCCCTAGGGAAGCACTGAAGGGCCAAGACCTTCATGTGGCAGCCCCCCTCCCTCTGTGCAGAGACCCAAATGGTGTATGAGGACCACTCAGTAGGCAACCATGGTTTCAGGCTCAGATGGAGCTATGTCGTTCCCCTTTTCATAGAAATAGAGCAACTATAAACATCTTTAAAAAATGAAAAATGAACAAAACTAAAAAACAAATGAAGAATGAAAGCAACACTCTTGTGCCACAGCGTGAGCTACTGCACTGAGCCTCCTTGGTACACTATCCCACATGTGCAAAACCACATGAGGACACACCTCACCAGGGGTGGTTTGTGAGTTTCCACCTGTTTAAAGGGACAGAACACATCTACCCCTGGTTCAAATCCCACTCTGCCGCTCATGAGCTGTGCGGCTTTAGACGAGCTGTGGGACCTCTCTGCCCATGTATGAGAGTCCATAGCAGTTCCTTACGTCTTCAGGGGGCTCTGTGAGGGCTCCATCTGTGCAGGGGATTTGGGGGGAGGAGTCACTGTCCCACCAGTAAGCTGACGTTGATCACCTGAACTTGCCTCTGGCATTGGTGCCTTGGTTTGGCTATTTGCTGGCTTTAGGGCAGGACCTAAGCTCTGCATCTCCAGAGGGCTGGGTTTTCTGGCCTGTAAGAGAGGGGAGACAGAAGTCCTGATGCCATCACCCCAGTGAGGAGTCCATTAGGGCAACCAAGAGACAGAGGCACTGGCCGAAGGCCGAAGTCCAACCCCACGCCCTGCCGCCCCGCACTGAGCAAAACAGCAGGAGGAAACTTGTTTCACTGGCTGCGGACAGGGAGTTTTTTTTTTTTTTTTTTCCCAAAGACTCTCCCCCGCCCCTACCCCCGCCCCTGCCCCTTGGCTGGTAAGCATGCTTGTACAGCCTTATCAATTTTCCCACATTTCATAAATAGTGTCCTTGTGTAACTTATCATGCACAGTATTTACAGAAAACTTGACTGGGCCGAGCATTGTTTTTAAGGCTAACTAGTACTCACTTCCCAGATCTGGCTTTGGCAAGCAAAGCGGCTCGTCAACATTTGGAAAGAGATAAACTAAGGAAAGGGTATGGGGCTTTGGGCAGATTCTGTGTCCAGGACAGCTCAGCGTGAGACACAAGCCTGTAAATCCTGCTCACATAGCTGGCTTGGCAATTTTCAGAATCCCTTTAGCATTTACAACACTCTCAGTGGTTCCAATAAATGGGCATAGAGTTTTGCCCTATTTAGACAATACAGTTTTATGGAAATAATAATAGCTATATGTCTCACATTCAAGATTCAATTCTCCATGAAAAAAAGCAAGTATACAACAATCATTAGAAAACAGTGAAGTCAGACAGAGAAAAGATATTTGTATATTAATACATATATGTAGTCTCTAGAAAATTGGTACAGATGAACATATTTGCAAAGCAGAAATAGAGACACAGACATAGAGAACAAATGTATGGGCACCAAGAGGGAAAGGGGGTGATGGGATGAGTTGGGAGGATGGTATTGACACATACACACTACAGATACTATGCATAAAACGGGTAACTAATGAGAACCTACTATGGAGCACAGGGAACTCTACCCAATGCTCTGTGGTTACCTAAATGGGAAGGAAATCCAAAAAAGAGGAAACCTGAATGCAGAACAAGAAGCAACAGTTAGAACCAGACATGGAACAATGGACTGATTCAAAACTGGGAAAGAGTATGTCAAGTATTGTCACCCTGTTTATTTAATTTATTTGCAGAATCCATCACAGGAAATCCTGGGCTGGATGACTCACAAGCTGGAATCAAGATTGCCAGGAGAAATACCAACAGTCTCAGATATGCAGATGATACCGCTCTAATGGCAGAAAGTGAAGAGGAAATAAACAGCCTCTTGGAGGTGAAAGAGGGGAGTGAAAAAGCTGGCTTAAAACTCAATATTCAAAAAACGAAGATCGTGGCATCCAGTCCTATCATTTCATGGCAAATAGATGGGGAAAAAGTGGAAAGAGTGTCAGATTTCATTCTCTTGGGCTCCAAAATCAATGTGGACAGTGACTACAGCCACAAAATTAAAAGACACTTGCTCCTTGAAAGACTGTCTATGACAAACCTAGACAGTGTATTAAAACGCAGAGATGTCACTTTGCCTACAAAGGCCCACCTAGTCAAAGCTATGGTTTTTCCAGTAGTCATGTTTGGATGTGAGAGTTGGACTATAAAGAAAGCTGAGCACTGAAGAATTGATGCTTTTGAAATGTGGTGTTGGAGAAGACTCTTGAGAGTCCCTTGTACTGCAAGAAGATCCAACCAGTCCATCCTAAAGGAAATCAGTCCTGAATATTCATTAGAAGGACTGATGCTGAAGCTGAAACTCAAATACTTTGACCACCTGATGCAAAGAGCTGCCTCATTGGAAAAGACCCTAATGCTGGGAAAGATTGAAGGTAGGAGGAGAAGGGGATGACAGAGGATGAGATAGTTGGATGGCATCACCAATTTGATGAGCATGAGTTTGAGCAAACTCAGGGACACAAGACAGGGAAGCCTGGTGTGCTACCATTCATAGAGTCGCAAAGAGTCGGACACAATTTAGCGACCAAACAACAACAGTATATAACACATATACACATAAGTGTTACAGAAAAAGAACAGAGAAAAAATACCAAAAGTTAATAAAAATTTTCTCCTAACAACCCAGTGAGGTGGGTACTGATGTGACCATCATGCTCATTTTCCAGCTGGGAAAGCTTAGAGTGGTTAGGAATTTGCCTAGCTAGTAAGGAGTACAGTCAGAACTTGAATCTAGGCCAACTGACTCCAGTCAAGGTACAGATGGCCCAGCGTGTGCAGAGAGCCCTCTCAATTTCTGGTG